AGCGTGATGGATCCGCAAAGGACCGGGCCTGGGAACCCGCAGCCCACCCCGCCCTCCCTTGATCCACCAGCGATGGAGTTTGAAGGGCTGGGGTGAGTGAAAAGCCGTTCCCGGAGCCCCGCCGCCAATTCCCGCCAGACCCGACGGCAGGACCTTGCTAGGGGCCTCACCCCACACCAGCGCACCGCTCGGACCCAGACTACGCTGAGCACTTTCTGTGCGCACGCCCTGTCCAGAGAGGGAATTAAACAGAAGAGGGGGCAAAGAAAGGGCTGAACGAGAAAAGAAATGAAAATGAGAAAACTAAGGGGCATAGAAGTGGAAGGAAACCCGGACCCCAGGCGGGCGACGGGGGCGGGGTGGACGGGGCGGGGTCCCTTCCATTCCTGCCGAGTTCCTGGGTGGGGGAAGGGGGAGCGCCAGCCTCGCCTGCAGCTACCGCCTCGCTGGAGCCGAGGCGCTTCTGCAGAGCGCGAGCCCTTGCTCATTATGCAATTATGTTGCTCTGACTTTGCCTGGACCCTAAATTGCCAAGTCCGGGCCGGAGGAGACACCGGAACAGACCCCGCTGTTCCCCCTTTCCTACGCGCGTTGACAGCACTCCGGTGCCACGAACGCACCGTGAACTGATTAAATTCAGATCCCCCGGGTATTCCCTGGGCACCCTCTGCACAGGGCTCGTGGACACTTTTCCAAAATTCGGGGATGGGGGGGGGGGGGAGATTCCCAGGCCCATTTCGCAGATGAGAAAACGAAGGACCCATGAGATGGAGGGATCTTCTCTACCCCAAGTCAGGCAGTCGCAGGGCTGGGCTGAACCACACTGGCTTGTCTGACTTCAAGTTCAATGCTCTCCCCAGGAAAGCAGAATCGCCAGAAGGGGCCCAGAAAGGAACCCATAAGGTTTGTGGGGGCCAGGGTGGGTCCCCTGCGCATGGCCACTCGGGTTGCTTAATGTATATGGGGGGGGGGGGAGGAATCAGCCCTCAACGTCTTTCAGGGGCTGCGTGGGCTGCGTGGGCCTGGGAATCTGAAAACTTTTAAAGATGGGGCTCTGTGCGCTTCTCTTGGGGACCAAGAGGCTCAGATTCGCGTTCTGGCCGCGCTTCTGGAAGCCCAGAGACCGGGCTCCCCCAGACCATCTTGGTGCCACGGACCCGCACTCCCCAGCAAGCTTGTTTTCTTCCCTTAAGGGGGGGGGGGGTGGGGAGTTGTGGCAAGTTCAGACTGCAGACCGCGCCGCAAGAAAGGAATATTCGCGGAGCCACGGAGGCTGAGGGACTGGAGACCCTGGGTACCGTGGAACCTGCCCAGCGCGCGCCCAGGGTGCGTGCGCGAAACCCTGCGCTCTCTTGGGAGTTCCTAGGCGGACCTGCCTTCGGTCTCTGGGGCTGGAAATACCCAGCGCGCCCCAGACGGGGTTTCCACTCTGCGCAACGGTTTCTATCTGTGGAGACGTCCACCCTCCCCAAGTCCCAACGCCAGGTACTTCAGCTTTAACAACCATTCATCTGCTGGCTTCCCGTCTTAATAATGGCCCGCCTGGCTGCAATGGCGGCCCGGGCTGTCCTGCGTGCCAGCCACTGCGGACCTAAGGCGGGGTGGCGGGGTGGCGGGAAGAGGCGTGTGCAGGTCTGATGAGAATTAAGTCTGGGGGTCCCCCAACTCGAAAGGGAACAGAGCGGTGCCTGGAACATAGTAGGCTTTATTGACTAAGAGGGCAACGTCCTTGCAGAAATCCCCCCAGAAGGCTAAACTGGGCGCTCGCTCAAATGTGTCCTCCTGGAAGCCTGAAGTTAACCTTCTGTATTAAAAGAAAAACAGAGTTGGTGCGAGTTTGGAGGTAGGGCTCATGCAGAGAGGACACGCAAAGGCGGGGAGCAGTCGCCCTGGGCTCTCAGTGTTGTTTTTTTCTAGGGGTCGGTCCGGGTCTTAATTGGGGGTGTGAAGGCGCTCACATTCTGGCAGCTCGAAATTAGTTCCACAAACCCTGCCGCGGCGGCTTAAAACAGCAAAGCATTCCCTCCACCCCACCTGGCCGCCTGTGGGAAAGGCAGGGCTGCGGGGTGGGAATTGTCTGGATTAGCTGTCTGCAGGCATCAAACCATTTGGGTGATTCGCTTTGTTTTCGGAGACAGGTTAAAAGGGGGAGAAAAAAAGAAAGAGTCGGTTCTGGGTCGCCTGAACAAGTGTCGATTTCAGCTTAAAGTGAATTGGAAAATTGAGCCTAATTATCCCAGGTAATTGCTTCAATTCTCCACTTGACTTTGCTAATGCAGATCTGTCCTCCGTGTGCAGAAAGACAGCCCCTCCTGTCCCCGAAGAGCCTGTGGTCACCTCCGAAAGTTGCTGGCATAAAACCACCATCGCACGGAAAAGCAATCGTAGGTGGGAAGAGGTGGCAAGAAGTAGAACTCCAAGAGGAAATCAGTGCCGAGATCCATTCTTGTAGCTTAAAATTAATTTATTTAACAAATATAGCTATAATATAAATGATAATAAAATTTCAAATATACAGTATATTACACCCAATCCCTTCCAAAGGGATTCTCGAGAGCCACACAAATGTACTGTTAAATAGAATTTTAAATTTTTATTTTACAATTTTTTTTTCTGGTACTGGTAAGAGAGAGGTCCCTTCAACCTACCTTCGTAACGCATCTGTGTACACCCCCCGCCCCCCCAACCCAAAGCTAACGCTTGGCTGCTCAGGCCAGAAGTGTTCCCACGGAAGGACCGGGATCCATATCTCCCGGCATGCTCTTCTCTCCCAGGATCCTCCGTTCCAACATCTTCAAACTTGAATTTCTCCGTGCTTTCCCCGCCTGGGATCAGGACAGGAGGCAGGGGTGCTGGAGAAGTGGCCTCTGGTCCTGACCCAACTGCTACCTCTGCTGGGGACCCGGTGGGTCAATGTCTTAACCTCTCTGGCCTCAGTTTCCCCATCTGTAACACGAGGGGGGTGGGTCTAGATTCTAGAACAGAAGGGACCCTTCCAGTCACATTTTTGGAAGAGGATCGGACTTCAGAGAGTGAAATCAGGGAGCGACCTAGGAGACACCAGAGCTGAGCGGGAGCTAAAGGAAGGAGCCAGGCGGTGCTGAACAGGGGAGCTCGCGGGGGACGCCCCTGCTGCTCGCAGAAGGCTGGGGCTGGAGGAATCGGCTGGTGCCACGGGTGGGCGGCCCTGGGGCCCTCTATGTTAGGTGGTACATGCTGTAGCCTACATGCGCCGTGTAGAGTCCACGGGCGCCACGGGCAGCGCGGCGCGCTGAAAGGGGCCCGAGGCGCCATAGAGTGAGGCGCCGGCTGCGGCTGCCACAGCCGCCGGGCCGCCCAGCGGGAAGGAGAGGCCAAAGGCGGCCGGTGGCAGCATGGGCTTCGCAGCCATCTTCAGCTTTTCCAGCTCTGCCTCCTGCAGTCTCTTGGCCTTGGCGCGGCGGTTCTGGAACCAGATCTTCACCTGCGTCTCGGTGAGGCTGAGCGAGCTGGAGAACTCGGCGCGCTCGGCGATGGACAGGTACTGCTTCTGTCGGAACTTGCGCTCCAGCGCCAGCAGCTGCGCGGTGGTGAAGGGCGTCCGCGGCTTGCGGTTGGTCTTGTGCTTGCGCAGGGTGCATGCTGGGGGGCTCAGGCGCCCTAGGAGGCCGAGAGAGAAAGAAGCAGGGGGTTAAGAGGGAGCGCGCGGGAGCGTCATCGGCCCCCTAAAAACTAGTTCATGATGGATAACAATGCCGTCTATTCATTTGGCCCTTGGAAAGTATTTTCTCCACTTCCCACCACCACCCAGAAGAGGAGACGTTCTTGTCTACTTTTTTCAAATGAAGAAACGTAAGAGTTCAGATGAAATATACCCAGGTTCAAGGCCCGAGCATAAGTGGGGAGAAGTGACCGGCCCAATGCTGATGGCCGCGTTGGTGGGCCTGTCCCAGCCGGACCTTCTCCCACTGCCGGGCACATGGGGGCCATGGCTGTTACTAGGGCTGATGAGACACCCAGACTGAGGCCCTGCGCCCAGTCTAAGACCACACCGGGTATTCTGGTGGAACACCGATCTGTGTCCACTGAGTGCTCGGCGCTCGGCTAGGCCAGAGCGGCAGAATCCAGATCTCCAAATTCCAATCTTTAAAGTGAGTTCCTACCCGGCTCTAAGGGCAGTCCCCCACACCGCAGGTGGAGCAAGGCCCCGGGTCCCAAGATCACACCAAGGCCAAGTCCTGCAGTGTGGAGGGGGGTGGGAAAGAGACTGCATTCGAAGGGGGCTTCTTCTGATCCTATGATGATCTCAACTGTCTCTTGGCCCTCTCCCGCCCCCAGAGCCCTTGGCCCTCTGGTCACACTCAAATGTGAGGTCCAGTGGGAAGAGGTGTGTGCAACCGCTTCTGGCGTCTCCCGGACCTGCGGCTCAGTCCACAGACATCAAAAGTGCAGAACAATCTTTTTCTTATGACTTCAACGCGGACTTCAAGGACGGACATGAGCCAGCTGGGGACGGGGCCCACTGGTCAGGGCAGCCCCTGCCATGCCAGGCAGCTGTGCCCAAATAAAACGTGGAACACATTTCGCCTAGGACAACAGGCAACTTTAGGGTCCAGGCAGAGGCCCGCACCAAATTCCCAAGCCCGGGAAAGGCCATGTTGCCTACGCAGCCGCTTCTCTCTGGGGGGGAAATGAATTCAAATCTGGAATGTTTCACCATGCGGGTTTTGCCTAATTATGCATTTTTTCAAGCCTTAAACAAATAAAAACAAATGATCCTTTGGGTCCTCAGACCACCAGGATGTGAGTCAAACGAAAATTCGGGTTAACAGTCCCTCCTTCTTTCCCAATCAAAGACACTGAGAGTCGGGGAAGCGGTTGGCCCCAGAGTCCATTTCCGCCAGGCCACCCGAGGGGCGGACATTCCTTTTGCCGACAGCGCAGTGCTGGGCCACCTTCCCCGGCCATTAGGCCCGGGGAGGGGCTTGCCTTTCAAAGACGTTTTAATCCCCAGATAAAAATCATTCCTCAGCATCGCGCCATTGAATTAGGGTTGCTATTATGCCGCGCAAAATAATCGGAGGAAACGAGGAAAACTTGGGAATTTCCCGTGCTCCTGAAATATCTTCGAGCTGGTTCGCTGGGCAGAGAAGCGGGGGGCCACCAGGCCTTGGCACAGCCGTGAAAGCGCCTTTGGGAGCGGAGTCCGCGGCAGTGGCCCTGGCAGAACCTCTGGGCGCTTCCAACCGGTTCAGAGGGGGCGCCTCCCACTAATTGACTGGGTGCCCCGCCCCCTCCACTGGACCTGAGCATCCTCCACCCCCTAGCCCCCCCCCCAAAGTACCAAGAATCTGCCTGAAACTTGGAGGTGGGGGGAGGGGAATTTTGCAAGAGCTCCAGAACCTTCCGGCGAAGAGATACTTTCTTGGGGGGTGGCGGGGAGACACCAGGCTTCTACTATGAGAAAGTGAAACTCCGCGTGCAGGGAAGATGTCGGCGCCGCTGGGACCCACCCGCTGGGGTAACGGCGAGGTAGCAGGGCTTAGGATCGGACAGGGGAGCAGGGACTCCCCGGGGTGGTTTGGTGGGGGCAGGAGGACAGAGTGCTCGGACACCCGTGCCCAACAACTAAAGTCCACACGCACGGTCGCCTAACCAAGGCCAGGAGCCCGCGAAAGTGGACCCAGCGCTGGGCCTTAGCCAGGGCTCGAACCATCTTCCTGGGTGGAAGTGGGAATGCACAGACCC